CCCTGGGCCCTGCCCTGTCCTCCCTCGCTCAGCGCCCCAGCTGCTGACCGGCCCTCTGCTCCAACCCATGGACCCGTGTCATGCCTCACCCCCACTCTGCCCCACGTGATCCCCCCACCCGCAGATCCATGGCCCCACTCAGACTGTGGGAGAGGAGTGGGGTCTAGTGGTTAGAGCACTGGGAGGGGGTTTCTCACCGACCCTGGGCCCTGCCCTGTCCTCCCTCGCTCAGCGCCCCAGCTGCTGACCGGCCCTCTGCTCCAACCCATGGACCCGTGTCATGCCTCACCCCCACTCTGCCCCACGTGATCCCCCCACCCGCAGATCCATGGCCCCACTCAGACTGTGGGAGAGGAGTGGGGTCTAGTGGTTAGAGCACTGGGAGGGGGTTTCTCACCGAGCTGAGGCTCTGGGCAGCCTCTCCCTTCTGCGCCACCCTGCAGGACTCGCCCGCCAGGTGCTCCTGCACCGAGCTCACCTGGGCCTCCAGCCTGCGCACCTTCCACTGGGGGGGACAGGGGGGTGAGACTCCTGCGCGGGGGCATCCCCCACCCAAGAGCCAGCAAGGAGACCCTCCCACCCCCGGGGTTCCCTCTGGATTGAGCTGTGGGGGCAGCCCCTCCCCCCCAGAGGCAGGTAAGACTTGGCACCGGATCCAAACACCCACCTGGAATGGAGTCCAGGGCCCAGCCCCCACCCCCCAAAACCACTGAGGAGGGTAAGACCCGGTTCTGGATCCTCCTTTCCCCCTGGAATGGGCTCCGGGCGTAGGCAAGGCCTGGAGCAGGATCCCCCTGGAATGAACTTGCCACTCAAGACCCAGATCCCGGATCCCCTGGAATGGATTCTGGGAGTCCTTGTCCTGGAGGAAGGCAAGACCCGGATCCCGGTCCCTGGGTCCCCTCCCTCTCTGGATGGAACTCCAGTTGCCAGAAGACCTGGAACAGGACTGTCAGGTCACGACCTGGAGCCAGATCCCAGGGCCCCTGGAATGGAGTCACAGGAGGGTAAGACCTGGAGTGGATTCCTGAGGATCGGCCCCACTCACCCTCCTCTCTTTGAGGTTCTCCTGGACCTGGGCTATCTGGAGGGACAAGGCCTGGCAGGCCTCCTCCTTCTCCTCCTCCAGGCGGCTCTCACGCTCCAGCTGCTGGAACTCCAGGTCCTCGTAGCTCCTCAGCGCCCCCTCCAGCATCTCCGAGGTCTGCAGGGAGGGAGACTGGTCAGGACTCCTGGGTTCTAGCCCAGCTGTGGCCGGGGAGGGGGATCTAGTGGGTTACAGCAGGGGGTGGGGGCTGGTACGTCAGGGCTACAGATGAGAATGGCCAGACAGCAGCCAGCGCCAGGTGCCCCAGAGGGAGCGAACAGAACAGGGCGAGGTTTAGCCGGGGGTTGTGGCCTTGACTAATAACCATCATGGACCAACCCTCCAGGTCTTTCTTTAACTCTTTTTTTAGTCCATTTATAGTTTTGGGTTTCACAACATCCTCTGGCAGGGAGTTCCACAGGTTGACTGTGCGCTGCATGAAAAAACACTCCCTTTGGTTTGATCTCAACCCGCTGCCTGTTCGTTTCATTGGGTGACCTCTAGTTCTTGTGTGCTGGGAAAGAGCAAATAACTTTTCTTTATTCACTTTCTCCCCTCCAAGCATGATTTTATAGAACTCTCTCCTATCCCCTTTTAGTCTCCCCTTTCCCACGCTGAGAAGTCCCCGTCTTTGAAATCTCTCCTCACATGGCAGCCGTTTCAGACCCCTCATTTTTTGTTGCCCTTTTCTGAAACTTTTCCAGCGCCAAGAGATCTCTGCTGGGATGAGGTGACATCGGCATGCAGGGTTCCAGCGTGGATTTACACAGGCGATAAGATCGTCTCTGTCTTATTCTCTGCCCCCTTTTTAAGGCTCCTCAACGTTCGGGTTTCTTTGCTGGCTGCTGCTGCGCACAGAGTGGCTGTTTTCAGAGACCTCCCCACAAGGACTCTGAGATCTGTCTCTCGAGAGGCAACAGCTGATTTAGTCCCCACCCTTCCATCGGGCTAGCTGGGACCCTGTTTTCCAATCTGCATTACTTTGCATTTACCGACCCCGAATTCCCCGTCTTGTGTGGCCCTGGTGAGGTCCCTTTTAACCCCTCCCAGCTGCATTGGACTTAACTATCTGGAGTCATTTCCGATCTGCTGCAAATTTTGCCACCTCGCTCTTCACCCCTTTCCCCAGATCATCTAGGAACAGGTCGAGTAGGATCCATCCCAGCACAGACCTCCGGGGGCACTGTGAGTCACCGCACCCCAGTCCAGACACGGACCCTGACTCCTGCCTGTCTTTGACCCGTCTCTGATCCAGGACAGACCTTCCTGCCTAGTCCACAACCACGTCCTTTGCCCCAGACCCTTGGTGACAGACCTCGTCCCAGGCTTTTGGTGAGTTACAGCCTTCCTTTGCCTACGCTGTTCTCTATCCATGCTCATAGGGACG